GGCACCTGTAGTCCCAGCTACTTGGGAGGCTGAGGCAAGAGAATCGCTTAAGCCCAGGAGTTGGAGGTTGCTGTGAGCTGTGATGCCCCAGCACTCTACCCAGGGTGACAGCTTGAGGCTCTGTCTCAAAAATTTTTTTTTTCTTAAGAGACAGGGTCTCATTCGGTCACTCAGGCTAGAGTGTATGGGTGTCATCATAGCTCACTGCAGTCTTGAACACCTGGCTGCAAGTCAAAATCCCACCTCAGTTATTCCAAATAACTTCCTTGTGTCGCCTGGAAATGTTTACCATTGTATATCGTTTCAATGTTTATTATGAATAACAGTTTATGACTCTTTAGAGTAAGCATGCAGCCCCCAAAGGGAGGCTATTGTATAGGAGACAGAATTTTCCTAGCAAAAGACACTTGATGTCAGGCTGTGTCTTGTACCCGTGACTTGCACAACTTCAGTTCTTCTGTAGGCAATTTGTTCTGTTTTGGGGGTGGTTGTTTGTTTGTTTTTGTTTCAGGTTTTTTTTTCTTTTTTGAGACAGTCTCACTATATTGCGGTTCATTTTTTCAGTAAAGTGCCTTGGCGTCACAGCTCAAAGCAACCTCAAACTCTTGGGCTTAAGCGATTCTCTTGCCTCAGCCTCCCACGTAGCTAGGACTACAGGTGCCCTCTACAATGCCCAGCTATTTTGTTGTTGTAGTTGTCATTGTTGTTTGGCAGCCCCAGGCCAGGTTTGAACCCGCCAGCTCCAGTGTATGTGGTTGGTGCCCTAGCTGCTGAGCTATAGGCGCTGAGCCTATTTCAGATTTTTTGGAGACAGAGTCTCACTTTTTCTCGGTCAGTAGAGTGCTATGACATCATAGTGCACAGCAACCTCAAACTCTTGGGCTCCAATGATTGTCCTGCCTCAGCCTCATGAGTACTTGGGACTACAGGCACCCCTCCCAAGGTCTGGCTATTTTTGGTATTTTTTTTTTAGAGACAGGGGTGGAGAGGGGGTGGGGGTGGAAGTCTCACCACTCTTGCTCAGGCTGGTCTTGAACTCCTGGTCTCAAACAATACACCTGTCTCAGCCTCCCAGAGTGCTAGGATTACAGGTGTGAGCCACCATGCCTGGCCCTAGCCAACTTGTTTTTTTTCTTTTTTAGAGACAGAGTCTCATTTTGTCGCCCTTGGTAGAGTGCTGTGACATCACAGCTCACAGCAACCTCCAACACTTGGGCTTAGGCAATTCTCTTACCTCAGCCTCCCCAGTAGCTGGAACTACAGGCGCCTACCACAACACCCAGCTATTTTTTTTGCAGTTTGGCCAGAACCGGGTTCAAACTCGCCACCCTTGGCATATGGGGCTGGCACCCTACTCACTGAGCCACAGGTGCCACCTGCCAACTTGTTTTTAAAGGTACAAAAAAGTGAGGACTTTACATGCAATCTCTTTCTTTAAAAGTAGGGGCAATTAATGAAAAATATCAAGAATGCCATGTATAGCAAAGAAATCACTTAGGTAAGCCAACTTGTAGTTTAAGACAATTTTCTTTTTTTTTCTTTTTTCTTTTGTAGTTTTTTTTGGCCGGGGCTGGGTTTGAACCCACCACCTCCGGCATATGGGGCCGGCCCTACTCCTTTGAGCCACAGGCACCGCCCTTAAGACAACTTTCCGTCATTCTTTGCATAAGTATTTATGGAGCACCTACCGCATGCACCAGTCAGTATCCTAGGCACAGAGGACACAGAACGAAAGACAGTTTCTGGTCTCATGGAGCTGCCATGCTGATTGTTTTTATTTCACTGCCTTTCTGTGTTCGTGAAAGCTGACTCCAGATAACCAGCTCTGCAGCAGCCCTTGTCTACTTTGCCAAGACATCATCTTGATCACATTCAAGGCCAAGGCTAAGTTTAAAGGGGACTTCCTGTGAGCCAAGAGCTGTGCTGACTCTGGAAGGCTGGGTGCCAAGTGATGAGCCCCTTAGATGTTCTGGGGGACGGATAGGCCCAGGGGTGCAGGAAGCAGATATCAGAAGCCATGCCCCAAAGCAAGGCTTGTGTAAGTCAGAGAGCTTAGCATCTGGCCTTTGCAGACCTGCAGGAAACTGATAGCAGTAGAGAAACCTGCACTAAGCCAAGATATCTACATCTTCTCAGCTATGGCTCCTCTGCGCAACGACTCAGAGGCCAGAAGTCTGAAATCAAGGTGTCTGCAGAGCCCTCCTCCCTCTGAAGGCTCCAGGGGAGGATCCTTCCTGCCTAATCCAGCTTCTAGTAGTGGCTGCAATCCCTGGTACTCCTGGGCTTGCGGCTATATCTCTCCAATCTCTCCCTCTGTCTCCCATGACCTTCTTCCCTATGTGTCTGTATCAGAATCTCCCTCTCCTCTCTTTGATAAGGAAACTTGTCATTGGTAAGGGTGCACCCCCTAATCCATTATGATACATATACATATACATATATATATATATTTTTTTGAAACAAGGTCTTGCTCTATTGCTCAGGCTGGAATATAGAGGTGTCATCATAGCTCACTGCAGCCTCAAACTCCTGGGCTCAAATGATCCTCCTGCTTCAGCCTCCCTAGTGACTCGGACTACAGGCACATGCTACAATGCCTAATTTTTTTCTATTGTTAGTAGAGATGGGAGTCTCACTTTTGCTCAGGCTGGTCTCAACTCCTAGCCTCAAAAAAAAAGAGTATGTATGATTTCTATACTTTTAACCTTTTTAATGTAATAGAAAATTTAAAATTACTTCTATAGTTCATATTATGTCTCAATGGATGGCTCTGCTCTAGATCCTATAGTGGTTGCTTTAAAACTTACTGAAATAGGGCAGTGCCTGTGGCTCAGTGGGTAGGGCGCTGGCCCCATATGTGGAGGGTGGTCGGTTCCAACCCAATCCTGGTCAAACTGCAACAAAAAAATAGCCGGGTGTTATGGCAGGCACCTGTAGTCCCAGCTACTTGGGAGGCTGAGGGAATAGAATTGCCTAAGCCCAGAATTTGGATGTTGCTGTGAGCTGTGATGCCACCGCACTCCACCAAGAGCAATAAAGTGAGACTCTGTCTCTAAAAATAATTTTTAAAAAACTCACTGAAATAAGACAAGCATTTCCCTAATACATATTATATTTACATACATATATATGTATATATGTGTAATTTTACCCTAAAAGAATGAACAAATAGAAATCAGATACCATGGTGCACTCTTTTCTTTCAGGTCTTTGTCCAGACAGCCTATCAGCAGGAAACTTCCTAGACAACTGTATCTGAAACTATAACCTCAGCCCTCCTTTCTCTGTTTTGAGAGGAGGAACGTTCTTTTATAACAGCTTTATTGAGATACAGTTCACATACCAGACAATTCATCAGTGTAAAATTGTGTGATTCAGTGGATTCTGGTATATTCAGAGTTGTGCAACCATCACCCCAAAATAGAAAGCTACCGTCTCTCACTTGCCATCCCTCTCCCCAATCCCCTGGCAAATGCTAATCCACTTTCTTCTCTACAGATTTGCCTATTCTGGACATTTTATATAAATGGAATCACATTAATATGTGGTCTTTTGTGCCTGGCTTCTTTCATGGAAAGTGATATTTTCAAGATTCATCCACATTGTAACATGTGTCAGTGCTTCATTTGTTTTTTATTGTGAAATAATATCCCATTGTATGAATGGGCCACTGTGCATTCATCAGCTGATGAACTTTTAGGTTGTTAGCACTTTTTGGCTATTATGAATAATGCTGTTGTGAACATGGGTGTGCGAGTTTTTATGTGGATGTAAGTGTTTATTTCTCTTGGGTAGATACGTAGGAGTGTTAATGCTGTGTCATTTGGCAATTCTATGTTTAACTTTTGGAGGAACTGCCAGACTTTCTCCGCAGTGGCCGCATTATTTTACAATGCTACAGGCAGTGTACGAGGATTCCAATTTCTCCACATCCTTGCCAACACTTTTCTTCCTTTTTCATCTGTTCTGGTGTGTTTTGTTTTGAATCACAGCCACACTAGTTGGCGTGAAACCGGTATCTCATTGTGGTTTTGCTTTGCATTTCTTGAATGACTAATGATGTTGAGCATCTTTGAGGGTATTGGCTATTTCTTTAGAGAAACCTGTATTTTGCGCCTTTGCCCTTTGCATCTGTTTTGTCTCCAGCTGTATCCTTGGGACCTCCGGGAGCGCAATATATGTTTGTTGAATGAATGAATGTCTCCGCCGTTGGGTTTCTATGTCGGGTAAATGCCCCTTGTGTTGGGTCCTATCTGTGCTCATTACGTATGGTGTCACTGTCTCGTTGGTGTATGTGGCGGGCTAAGGTCTCCCTTGTCGCGAGCCCTCCCTTGGGTGGCAGATTCTGTGACTGTCCCCAGTAAGAACCACGCCCCCCAGCCAAGCCATTTCCGCATATTCCACGCAGCCTCAGTCCTCTTCTGGCCGTGGTTGCCCTTGGCAACGCGTGGCGCCACGCTTCCTGTATTGATTCGAATAACCGGAAACGTCATGTATCCCGAGGTGCCCGCGCAGAGTGGGCGTGGCCTGGTGGGGAGGTCGGGGCGGTGGGGCGTGGCCGCAGCACGCAGCGCCTAGGCGTGTGGGCGTGGCCTAGCGGGCGCGTGGCCGCGCGCGGGGCCGCCTAGACGCGCGCGGCGGAGGGAGGGAGCCGGGAGGCCGCGGAGCAGCCACCGCCGCCATATTAGGGACCGCGGAGCCCGGGATCCCGTCAGCGGTGGCCGCGGCCGGGCTTAGGGGAGCTGCAGGGACCGGAGGCGGCCGCGGCGCGGTGCCGGGAGAGGCGGGGCCGGCGCAAGCCAGCGGGCGACCGGAGCGAACCAGGTGAGGCCGCCGGGGCTGGGGACCCGCCCCCTGGGCCCGAGGCTGCGGGGTAGACAGCAGAGCCCCCAAACCGAGCGAGCAAGCCGGGTTGCAGCCTCTCCCAAGCTTAGGCCTCTCCAGGACAATCTAGTTCCTCTGAATGCCGCCCCCCAGGCCGAGCAGGTCCGGGTGACCTCAGCTTGCCCAACCTCCGTGTTCAAGTCTGAACGTCCCTCCACATCAGGCCCTGTCGTGACTCCCCCAGCCAGAGCCACCTGCATATCGAGACTTTCCTCTGTAATGAATGTCCACTGTTTTTTTAAAACAGCAAGGTGAACACTACACTCCCCCAAACCAGGGATCCCCCCAACCCGGCCCAGCCCCTAATCTGGGTTATTTCTCTTTGGCTTGTCATCCCGGGGGTCGTCCAAATTCGGACCCTCCCCATATTTAAAAAGGCCACAATAGTTGAACCTGTTGTGACTCACTTGCCCAGGTTCCAACCAGCCCTTCACCCCAGTAAGTGCAATCTAAGCCCTGGAAACCCGGAAACGACTACACTCTGAGGTTGGGACCTTGTCTATCTGAGATCACCATGGTATGCATCATGCCAGGGTTGTGGTTTGAATATGTACATGTCCCCATACCACCTGAAGCTTCTGCCATCTCTTCCCCCACCCTCCCAGCACATAGTATGTAAGTCCTGATCCACCCCAAAATTCAGCTTTCCCATTTCAGCAGTGACCCCACCAAAACCTGAGACAGCCTGTCTGTGCCCAACCCCTCTTTTCCATCTTAACCTCCAGCCTGTGTATTTCCCCAAACATAAGCTCAGCCACCTGGGATCCTGAAAATGTGGGTCGTTTTTTCCTATTAAAACCCATGATCCCTCCTCCCATCTTCCAGACCTGTCCCCACCCAAAGCCTGAGACCCAGCTCTGTGCAAATGTTTGTTCCCTCTAAACCTATTTGATTTTTTCCCTGTATTCTCCACCCCAAACTCATTCCCTGACTCAAGGCTCCTCTGGCTGGGAAGCAGAGCCCTTCACCCTCCCCAGACCAGTGAGGGATGACCTCATGCCTCTGCATGGTGAGGTTCCTCTGCCCCCCAACTTCTTATCATACTTAGAATGAGGGTGATTTACCTAAAGAAAATCATCCACCCAGAACACACAGGCTACCCCTTGGGATGGGGATAGCAGAGGGACTTTGAAGTAGAAGAGGCTGGATAGTGGTCTCTCTTGGGGGTGGGGGACTGGATTTGCATGCCATGAAAGCAGATGACACCTCCTGGGGATGGTCCCCAGAATGGATGTATCTGAGGCAATTTGTTGTGCAGAAGTTCTTGTGGCCATTGTGGCCTTCTGTGTTTAGGGCCTAAGGGTCTGATTTGGTAATACTGGGCTGTCATTTCCTTTGAATCCCAGGGTAGAAGCAGGTGTCCTGGCTGCTAGTGCCTGGTGCCTTTCAGTTAGCAACAAGCTCAGCACCATTGCAGAGGGTTTTGTTAAGGGTGCAGACTCTTTACCCCTTCAAAGAGTAGGGCTCTGTCTTTGGGAGACTCTTGCTCGGATTACAGAGTGTTGCTTTGCTGGGGTGAGAATGTTTTAGCAATGTCTTGCTGACCTGTTTGCTCTGATGACTAGTTCCAAGTAAAATTTCAGAATCAGTGTCCTGGCTGGGAGTGGTGGTTTGAGGGCTGGAGGAGTACCTAGAAGTGAACAGAAAAGGCTGATAGGTCTTCAGAGGTGGGTCTGTATTGGTTATCAGACCATTTCTTCTATTTCAGCAGGAAATCCCTTGCTCATACTATTAGTGTTTCTGGCTGGGTGGGTTTTTTATACTGAGGACTTATGGGTCCAGAATGGAGTTGGTTGTTGGGACCTTTTGCACACTGTCACTTAAAAGGATGAGGATCTAAAGTCTTTCTGTTTGTAGGACCAATCCCAGGGACTCCTAGCTGGGGACTTGGTCTTCTAGGAACTGTCCAAATCATAGCACCTTGTAATTAATTCCTTTCTGTGGGAGCAGAGTCCTCACCAGACCAGTTTTGAACCTAGGAGACACTCGGCAGTGTTTGGGCCAGGGGTGCTGCTCAGCACCCCACAGTGCCCAGAACAAAAGCCGGGGACCTGGTCTGAGACTGTCCAGACTGAGCCTTCTGAGGATGACTACATCTGCCTGGTCTCCATTCTGTCCCAAGCACTACACAGTACATTGGTTAGGCTGGAGCTCCTAGTACTGGCTGAGGGTAGGCAGATGAGTGGATTGAGGGTGCTCCCTTTAATCACCAGTGACCTCCTCCACCTGTTATCTCCACCTGTCTCTACCTTATCTATGCCTCACTTTCACTCTTGCAGAGCCCACACTGTGCTTGTGTGTATTCCTTCCTGGCATGTGTACATATGGTGGCACTGCAAGGCAGCAGGGTGCCCAGAGCTGCTTTCTGGAAATCTGTGTGTCCAGCACATCCTGTAGTGGCCACGGGGCTCAGCACAGAGCCTTGATGGGGCATCCAGAGTTCTTGTTCCGGGACATTCATGTCTTCAGCAGCCATCCGTCTCTGTGTCCCTTGGCAAGTAACAGCTTTCCTCTGCCTCGCTTTCTCACTTGTGAACAGTAAGAGACATGGTTTGCTTCCTGCCTGGCCCTGCTTTGTTAGTCATTTGAGCATCATGCATCATCTGTAGTGTCCACTCTGCCCTTGAGAAAAGCAGAACCCTCTCTCTCGCTTTTCCCCTCAGTCTGGTTATTCCTTAAGTCTCCTTCATTGAACCTTCTTTTTTAATTTTATTTTTAAAACTTATTTAAAAATTCCAGGTATAATTCTCATATCACGACGTTTATCCAGGTCTAATTCTCATAACCACATAATTCATCCAAAGTGTATAATTCATTGTTTTGTATATATTCACAGACTTGTGCAACCATCACCTCTAATTCTACACATTCTAATCATCCCCAAAGAAACTCCGCTCTTCATCAGCAGTTACCCCATCCCTTGCCCCAGCCCCTGACACCCACAAATTCACTTTCTCTCTCTGGATCTGCCTGTTCTGGACATTTCATATAAATGGAATCTCACACTGTGTGTCCTTCTGTGTCTGCTTCTCTCACTGAGCACAATGTTCTCAAGGTCCACCCACATTGTGACCAGTGTCAGAACCTCCTTCCTTTTCATAGTTGCATAATATTCCCCTGTGTGGATGGACCACATTGTGGGTGTCTCCTTACCGGTTTGTGAACACTTGTGTTATTTCCTATCTTTGCCTGTTGCAAGTAGAGATGCCAGAAATATTCAGGTGCTGGTTGTTGTGCTGCCAGGAACCATGGGGTACTGGTGGTTGTGTGGGGGCCAGTTGCTGTTGGAGACCCTTTTTCTTCCTCTGTGACTTGGGCACCAGCACCCCTTCTCTACACCACACCCATTGCAGCCTGGCCTTTAGCTTTCTTGATTCTCTTTTGCTGCTGGTGACCAGAGCTGGCTCCTGAACACCAGGCCCCTGTGGCCAACAGCTAGCAGCCAGTTGCTTGTTTCTCCTGGGTGTTCACAGGTACCTCAGGTTGAGTGTGTCCCAAGGTGGTCACTCTATCCTCAACCTGGCCCCTCCCCTAGTACTCGTCCTCTACCTGCCCCCAGCCTCATATTTGGGTACAAAGTCTCATCCACCTGCCTTTGTCTCACTCTGGGTCCTGTCTCCCTGCCCCTACCACATCTTAGGACCTAGATGGGGCAGTCATTGTTCCTCAGTCCCTGCCACCCTGCCTGGCCTCCATACCACACCACAGTGAGTCATGTACATGCTGCCCACCCTGGGGCCTGGCTCAGGACACTTGCTCTCTAGTCTTTCTCCCTCTCCTGCCCCAGTGTGTTCCTTCTACCACAGCCTTCCACACAACTGTGTGGTTCTGGAAAGTGGCAAGCTGTTCCAGATCCCTGTGCCTTTCTACATTTGCTTCCTTCCATCAAGAATCTTTTCCTCTGGCTCAGTCGGTAAGGTGCCGGCCCCATGTACCAAAGGTGGCAGGTTTGAACCCAGCTTCGGCCAAACCACAACAAAGAGATAGCTGGGCATCGTTGTGGGCGCCTGTAGTTCCAGCTACCCAGGAGGCTGAGGCAAGAGAATCGCCTAAGCCCAGGAGTCGGAGGTTGCTGTGAGCTGTGTGATGGTATGGCACTCTACGGAGGGGGATAAAGTGAGACTCTGTCTCTACCAAAAATAAAAATAAAAAGAATCTTTTCCTCCCCAGATCAGATTTGGCCCAGGAGCTGCTGTGTTGCGACCCTTTAGTGAGATTGTTACCACCTGGCCCAAAGGCTGCTGGGTGGGTGGATGGAAGATGGCAGGGATAGAAGGAAGATGGATGCTGTGGGGGGAGGAGTCTGTCTGCTCTTGCTGGAGGGCCAAGGAGCGAGAATGATGGATCTGGTCTGTTTGGCACCCAGGAAGCAACTGTTCCCTTAAGGATTCCCCTAAACCAGGCACTCTCAACCTGGGTTGATTCTGCCTCTATGTGGACACAGGGCAATGTCTAAGGACATTCATGGTTGTCATGACTGGGCAGGAAGTGCTCCTGGCATGGAGTGGGTAGCTGCTTAGCACCCTTTAGTGCCCAGGACAGCCCTAACCCAGAAAGCAATTGGGCCTAAGTGTCCACGGTGCCAAGTTTGAGAAGTAACTACCTGAAACACACTGCGTGAGGTGTCTCCTTCTGACCCCCTACCTTGGACCACAGTAGGTACTGCAGTGAGACAGGGGAAGCACTTTTTTTTGAGACCAAGTCTCAAGCCGTTGCCCTGGGTAGAGTGATGTGGCATCACAGCTCACAACAACCTCAAACTCTTGGGCTTAAGCGATTCTCTTGCCTCAGGCTCCCAAGTAGGTGGGACTACAGGTAGCTGCCATAATGCCCGGCTATTTTTTGGTTGTAGTTATCATTGTTTGGCAGCCTGGGCTGGATTTGAACCTGCCACCTATGGTGTATGTGGCTGGCACCCTAGCCATTTGAGCTACAGATGC